CGCTTACCGACAGGGCTGGGGGGGCCGAGGCTGCCAGGGAGAAACAGCCACATGCCGGCAATCAGCCGGAACTGCTGGAGCCGGCCGGGGAAAGCCGCGGCCGGACGGAGAACCGCCAAGGATTGATTGACTTCCGGGAGGGGCGGGTCCCAACTGCCGGGACACTTATAACCACAGGGCGAATGGTGGCTTGCGGCTGTGGGCGGGGTAACAGGGCGCAGGGCCAATGAGGAGCCCTGCGAGGGGGCAAGTCCCATGAGAGAGAGAGAGAGAGAGACAGAAGTGCAAGTGCCTCTCTCTCTCTCTCTCTCTCTCTCTCTCTCTCTCATGGGACTTGCCGGAGGGCCGTGGGAGGGCCGCATTTATATAGAGCAGGGAGGGCTGCTCGAGGGCCGGATTAAACCGGGCCGCGGGCCGCAAATGGCCCGCGGACCGGACTTTGGACATGTCTGATCTAGGGTGTTGGCTATTCCTGCCAGCTTAGTATCATCTGAAAAGTTGATAAGTTCCCCTTCTATTCCCTCATCTAAGTTGTTTATGAAAATATTGAAGAGTACTGGGGCTAAGATGGAACCTTGTGTACCCCACTTCTTACTTCTTTCCATGTAGATGTAGTACAATTAAGGACTACTTTTGGGTATGATTTGTCAGCCAGTTACAAATCCATCTGATGGTGATGGTGATCCCACTTTTTTCTAGCTTACCAAGAAGTAGGTTGTGACCTACTTTGTCGAATACCTTGCTGAAGTCTAAGTATACTATATCACAGCATTTCGCTGCTCTACTAATTTAGTCACTTTGTCAAAGAATGAAACAAGATTGGTTTGGCATGATCTGTTTTTAACAAACCCATGCTGATTTTAGTTATTACTTTACTTGTTTCTAGATGTTCGCAGATCTGTTTTTTTATTATCTTTTCCAGTCTCTTCCTGGGTATTGATGTTAGGCTGATTGATCTGTAGTTTCCTGGGTCTGTTTCCCCCCCCCTTTTTTTTTTTTTGAAGATGGGAACCACATTTCCTCAATGCCTTCCACAATGCAGCGCTTCTAATGTACTTGAAAAGTTCTTTAAAATTCAGGGAGATATTCAGATGTATCTGCCTTGAAAGTAGCCCATGTTGAACTGCATAGCACAGTCACACATCAGGAGTTGACCACAGGAAATGTTTTGTGACATTATGACATTTTGTATTATGTCATAAAATGCTTTATGATAATTTTTATGTCACAATTGTTTATAAAATTTGCCAATTTTCAGTTCCATAAAAGGCATGAGTCCCGGATTTTGAACAATTCAGTAAGATGGCTTGTTTGGGGTTGAAAAACTGTTGCCATATGATGCATTGTTTCACCCAGTTAAAAGTTATAGACACGAGTTTAGTAGTTTATAGATATTGCCAAGCAAATTATTCAGGTAAATTATATTTCTATTTTCCTTTTATATTTACTGCATTGTTGTTGATGTTGTCCATTTTTTTTGTTGAATTTTTTTTTATTTCTATGCCCAATACAATGACATACAATGATACAAAATCACTTTTTTTTTACTCTATCCTTGATCTAGAGCAGTGGTTCCCAACCTTTTCTATACCCCGCACCCCTAGAATACTCCTGATATATTCTCGCACTCCTTACAAAAGTTTGAAATAATGGCAACAAATTATGCATATACACTATAATTTTGAAAACCCAAGTTTTCCCACCCCCTGGAATATCGTCTCACACCCCCAAGGGGTGCAAGCACCTCTGGTTGGAAACCCCTGATCTAGAATATATTTTCTCTTTTTAAAGTTTTTGTATTCATGTCTGATTTCCTGAAACATAGGAATTGGTGTAAAATATACTTCAAAAATGAGATTATTTTATAACATTAGTCTCCAACAGGCAAAATAATATTAAACAAATTAAAAATTTGAATTGCTTAACCTGAAAGTTTGCTAATTGGTTGAACTAACTCCATACTTTTTGGTAGATGACTCTCAATCTAGTGATCAGGATGACTGTTAGATAATACAGTGAGTCAGAATTGAGACATAGAAATCTCTAGTCTATATTCTAGTAACCATCTAATGATCTTCTGGATTTCTGAAGTACAAATATGATAATCCTAGAGACCGATCTTAAACTGCACTAGTGCATATGTATATTTTTGTTACAGTTGGTAAAATTCTGCTCCTTTCCTTAGATTCTTAGATATTATAGATTCTTAGATATTAAAGATAGCTTGTGCTTGCATGTGTACTCACATATATAATTGATATATATATTCATTACCACTACTTATTTGGATAATAAAAATTACTAAACGAATGTGGGTTCCAAATATATTAATGGACTTCGCAATTAACTTGTACATTATTTTTCTTCGAAGGATACAATTGAATTTAGTACCTCTTGCTTTCCAAGGACAGGCTTCTGAAGACAGAGAAAACGGGAGAAGAGCTTCAATTAATAAGCAAAAGAACATGGGTTCATTTGCATGTCAATCCCGAGCATACGAACATCTCATCTTCACCTTGCAATCCCGCTAGGCCCGTACGCTACCATTTGCGCTTGCGCTTTCTTTTGGCTGTCATGGTAATAGTAGGCGGTGCTTAGGTAGGTGGGTGGGCATTCAGGAAAGCAAGAGGGCGGCCCTGGGATGTTGGCTTTTTATTATCCAGTCAGAAGACTGGGTGCGCGTGGAGGGCGGGTATTTCTTAAATAGCCGGCGACGTCGGGGCGGGCTGAGCAGCTACGGATGGGGCGGGGGGGGGGGGAAAGGCATAATACGTCCTCTTGCTCTCTCTTGTAGGTTACGATGAGGAATGGAGAGCGGAGCGGCGGCGAAGACAACACCAACTGTTGCTGATGCTCGCGCCTCTCCCGCGCGTTCGACTGGCCGTGGGGAGTTATTAAGCCGTTGCTAGCGTCCTCCCGCCCCCACCTCGCGCTGTTTATGTGCGTGAGCCTCCGTGCGCGTCGCCAGACGGTTGCTTGGCCGGTTCGACCGGGGCCCTGTCGACGTCCGTGGTGGTGGCGGCCTGGCATATCCGCGCACCTAACCCGCTTCCTCAACTCCAGTAAGGAACCATGCGGCTATGTGGGGCGCTTCTAAAAAGCCCCATTCCCAAACAAATCGAATACTACTCTCGCTTTTCCCCGTCGCCGCTCTCTATTAAGCAGTTCCTGGACTTTGGTGAGTGATCAAACGGCACCTGTGCAGTCGCAGCGCGCGCGTACCTTCTACCATCATCTCCGCTCAACTAAGAATTTTTGATTCAGTCTGACTGGAGAGAAGGATCTCTAGGATACTCCCCCTCTGCTCTGTTTGACGTCATCAATGTTGGGTAGGGGCTGGATCTAAGGAGACATAACCTGAGTGGGGAGTATACGGTATTAGTTTGGGAATTTAGAAGGCAGTTTGGAACCTGCTGCAGGAAAACAGAAGCTCAACAGATGGGTTTTTTTTCCTGCTACATAAGTGCGGAAAGCTCCTAGATCTTGTACGTCAAAAACTGCTTCGAAGTTCTCCATAGGTCTCTTGTCCAGAGAGTGAACTGGAAGTGAAAAGAAATATTGCTTTACTTAGCCAGCACTGTGCATCTTCAAACTATTTTATGGGCCTGTTCGTTATTGAATTTCAGTTTCCTAAATCTTTTTTTCCTTCCAGTGTGCAACAGCTTTTTCAAGGTCAGTGCTACACTGCCCAAACTAGGCAATCAATCATACTTTTACTCAGGCCTGCAAAGCCTAGATTAGAGTTAGTGCTACTTGTGTTTTCAATATTGTGCTGGTTATGCAAGAGTCTTCAACCATGAATCTTATATGCGAGTTTGGTGATTTAGTGTATGCAATGTTATATTTGTGTTCTGATCCTACAGTACTTGGATTGCAGTATAGCAGTGCATTAGAGGAAATTTGTAACTCAAAGGAAATTGGAGTACAAGGAGAATTGAATTCAGGAGAAACAAAAATGGATTGGCTTTCAGGACAATTCTTATTTGAAGGATTATTTGAATCCTTTACTTTGTGGTTTCAAAGTGAGAACATAGTGAGCAGCCTGATTTAAGCTAATTTGAACATAGTTTGATTTACCTGAATATTATGTTTTTAGTATTTTGATATAATGTGCAGAAATGAATTTGCTTTGTGCAATGCTGTTTGATTTGGGTAAGTCAACAATTCATTATGTCTTTTTAAAAAAAAAATCAGTTCCTTGGTCATTTCAGGTTCTTAATATTGCATTTCTTTCACACAACTGCCAAACAGTCTTTGGTCTTTTACCAGCTTTGAAGCTTGAAGAGCTGATAGAAGTTTTGCACATTCCCATTCACCTTTGCAGCCTTAAAATTGAAATACCATTATTGAGGTATGACCGAGATGATCAAGGATAATTATTTGCACTGGATATTTAAAATGGAACATTACATTGAATTATATCTGTGAAGTACAGTTCAAGAATTACTTCAGATGTTTCAAACAGAAAAAATGGAAAACAATTGGTTTTGCCTTAAAATACATAAATAATATTTTACAAATTTATCTGTTTCTCTGTAATTTACAGTGTCTCTCTGTTAATTCATAAAGAATCCTATTTTATGTCTATATTCATATTTCCCATATGTTGATTTAAAAATATCCATGTCCCAGAGTCACTATTTATAGCATGGACTGATTGGTGGACCAAGAATTTAGATGAGAAAAAAACTCAACTTTATTTTCACTATTTTATTTTATGCATTTAAATACATCTTTCTGAGAAGGGGCTGACCAGCTTCTCAAACAATGCATAAATACATTGAAAACGCTTGGCCTAAAGATAATTCTTACATATTTATTTTGTTCCATAGTTCTTGTTAGGATCAGTTTGTCTAGTGGTTAAAGTACCAGACTACAAACTAGAATATTGTGTTTATTACTCCTGCATTAGGCATGGAAAGCCAGCTGGGTGACCTTAGGCCAGTCACTCTCTCCCAGCTCACCTCACCTCACAATATTGTTGTGTGGAAATAGGAGAAGGAGTATTAGGTATGTTCACTGCCTCAGATTATTTATAAAAATAATAAAGACAGCATATAAATAATATTTTATGCAAAATGTTTAGTAATAAAATTAATCTTTAAGAGGTTACAATACTTTTGTGATATAAATCACAAAATAGGTAAATCATATAAATATTCATTTCTGTATTCAGAATTCTTGGGAATCTGAAACTAAAATAAACAGTCACCTTTATTATCTAAACTGAGTGCATATAAGTAAAAGTAGAGCTATTTGGAAAGGCTTCAAACTCCAAGTATCTAGCGCTGATTTAATCCAAATGTAAAGATTAGATTAAATATTAACCAGTCGTGTTCCACTTCTAAAGGGTTTTTTATTGTAAAGGATGAAAAGGTACTTAATTGGCTAAAAATAATTCCATCAATTTTAGTACATTTATTTTAAAAAATATTTTAGTATTTAGTAGTGCCATCAACAATGAAATCTTTGCAAAATGGTACCAAACTACTGAAAATTTCTGAAAAGTTCATATTGCTTGTACTGAAAAACTTCTCATTTAATTTTATGAAATAAAAAATATTAAAATATTCATAATTTCTCTGATTTGCAAAACAAGTGTGACAAAAGAGATATAACCATAATCACTCATAAATGTTTTCAAGATCAGATCTTGTTTTATAATATGAACCAGGTTGTGCCCATGTTGAATTCTTTGTGCTTGGATTAAAAAATGATCTTCAGTTGTAGAATACATTCCAATTTCATTTGTGATTATCACAATATAAAAAGAATAGGAAATTCTGAAAGCTTAATGGCTTTCATTAGTAAAAACTTCATCTGCTGAGATAATCTAGGGAACAGAAGTAGTTGAAAATAATAAATGGCATAGATGATTAGTGAATGCCTTCAGCATTAGTTACAAAGTCATCGCGACCCCATGGACAACATTCCTCCAGGACTTCCTGTCTGCCATCTTCTGGAGTCCATTTAAGCTCACGCCTACTGATTCAGTGACTCCATCCAGCCACCTCATTCTCTGTCGTCCCCTTCTTCTACTGCCCTCAATCTTGCCCAGCATTAGGCTCTTCTCCAGTGAGTCCTTCCTTCTCATTAGGTGGCCAAAGTACTTGAGTTTCAACTTCAGGATCTGGCCTTCTAAAGAGCAGTCAGGGTTGATCTCCTCTAGGACTGACCGGTTTGATCACCTTGCAGTCCAGGGGACTCGCAGGAGTCTTCTCCAGCACCATAGTTCAAAGGCCTCAATTATTTTGCACTCAGCCTTTCTTATGGTCCAACTTTCACAGCCATACATTGCAACTGGGAAAACCATGGCCTTGACTATACGTACTTTTGTATTTGTACAAATATTACATGATCAGAATTGAAGCTAATTCGCATTGTGTTTTAAAAGAATATCCTTTAGTGGTAGGGCTGTGCAGGATTCAGTCAAAAATGTGTGCGGTACCTATCTACAAGTCTTTAAGCCATTTCATTTCCTGGAATATCCTGCCAATGCTGAGGGCAGTTTCATAAGCTTTGGAAAAGAAGCTGCGGTTTCAAAGAGTTGCAGATAGGTGCTACATAAGTACCCCTTATGTGCTCCAAGTTACCTTTTTGATTTTGCTTTGAATCCAAAGTGCCACTAGTCCTTCTGAATGATAAATAATGAACAAATTGTATATATCAGTTTAACATTGCTCTTGCCTATTGGTTTTATGGTCACAATTGGTAACAAATGTTCTTGGTTGCCAAATGAGGCGCTTAGCAAAATTCCTAGCTCTTTCATTTGTTAGGGAATACTAGATAACCCCTGATCCATTGGGTCATCCTTTCAGAATTATTTACTTATGCACCTCTTACTCTTGCTGTGCCTTCTTTGCACCATTGTACATCTACCTGCCTAGGACTTCCAACTTCCATTGACTTTCCTTGGTCAATGGAACCTGGTATTTATCTGGCTTTCTGTGTTCTGGTGGCCAACACATAGGACAGCAGCTATGAGTTTACATGCTAATCTATCCTGTAGAGTTTTTGTCTGTTCTGTGTATTTATGCTAAGAGGATTGCTGAGAGTATCGCCCCATGATGAAAGTAGGAGACTGAAAGTATGCCTCTTCATTAACAGCTCCCATCTTATGGAACCATCTCTTTGAAATATCCATTTGATCCATATTTCATAAGTTGACTAAGAATGTTCTATTCCTTTCATTCTTTGGTATGGATGGCAGACTTAGACTGTAGTTCTGTTTTTGATAAGAGTAATGTTACACTTTTTATTATCTTGCTTATTGACAGTACATTACAGAGCATCTCAGGTTATGACTACTTGTTCAGTGACTGTTCAAATTTATGGCAGCACTGAACAAGGGGAGTTATGAATGGTCCTCAGAGTTCTACCCATCGCAGCATCCCTACTATTTTCATGCGACAGACTTACATATCTACCATTTGTTGCCCTAACAAGTTATTCCTTGCTTAGCAAGTGGTCACTGAATGACTATTTAAAGTTTCAACACACTTCAAAAAAGTTACTTATGATCTGTCCTTGAAGTTAAACTGCTGCACCACCATTCCCACAGTTATGCAATTGCTTTTCAGGTGCTTGATAGCAGGGTCACATTTATGACCAGTTGCAGCATCCTGTGGTCACATGATCATGATCTGCAATGTGGGGTTTTTTTCTGTTTTCTTCATATAATAACCATATGATTCACTTAACAGCCAAGGTGACTTGCTTAACGGCCATTGTAAAATGATTGTAAAATCAAGTCAGGTCACATGGTGACCTGCTAATAACTGCAACAACTTGCATCCAAAATTCCAAGCTCTATTGTGATTGTAAGTCAAGGACTAGTTGTAGGTACTGCCCCAATTCATTCTAGGCTAAATGGTCTCCTATTAGGAACATATAAAATGCTGAAGAAATAACTAGGGATAGTTTAAGGCAGGGGTAGGCAACCTCGGCTCTTTTATGACTCATGGACTTCAACTCCCAGAATTCCTGAGCCAGCAGGCTCAGGAATTCTGGGAGTTGAAGTCCATGAGTCATAAAAGAGCCGAGGGTTGCCTACCCTTGGTTTAAGGAAACAAGTGTGCAAGTATGTCATAAAAGAGGAACATGGCTCTATCATTGGATATCTAAAACCCAAATCTTCTGCTTCAGTTCAGTTATGGTTTTATTACATCCCAAAACAAT